TAACCACGACGGCGACGGCAACGAGGACGTGGAAAAACAAGAGATCTAATTGGCAGAACAATAGCTCAGCACGTGCGTTTTGAAACTTTGTACATTTCTTAGCCGTCCTATGCAAAACAACAACGTGAAATCGCCAAAATTTGCGTCGTCTGCGAACCGAAACCGCGACGGCAAATTATTTTAATTTCCATTTGGAACTCAACGGCTTCTTTATACGTCATGCTGAGGTTGAGCTGTGGCGCTGTATGAGGCAGTAAGCTCCTGCAGCCATTTTTGAAATTCTAACTAAGAGTAGAAATTCATTTTTTAATCGAAGTCTTCCTTGGCGTCGCCGTCGTGGTTTCTTAAAGTCCCTAATGTCTGTCGAGATGGAACAACGTTTAAAAGAAAGGCTTGTTTAATAAAAAATTAGGACCAAATCGAAAAAATATTTCTTGCCCTGACCTTTCACAGTGAGATATAACTTCTATACGAATGCATTACAATATCAAATGTTTACATCCGTTCTTATATAGGGGATGTTTGAGTGTGTATAAAAGTCATAATAAATATTTACTAAAATGTAAATAAGAATGACCAAGTTAAAATGCTGAATTTCGAGACAGAAAAGTTAAATTTAGATGTTTCTAGGTGTAATCAGCGCTATATACAGATAACAAAACAAATTTTGGGGAGGGAGTAAAAACCGTTAAGTGTGTTTTGACGTTTAAAAAAATATATATTTGAATAAAAATGAGTCCTACTTAGGCAACATTTTAAGGTAGCTTATGATATGTAGGTCATCTTGGTGATTCAAGTTCATCAAATACATTAGAGTATGATGATTTTAGGAAGGAGACGTAATTCTGCATACTTCTTGTAGTGCTGTTAGCTTGTTCAAGCCGGTCCCTCATGTCAAACAGCTTGGAGTTGTAACGCCTCTCGGTCTGAATTTAAAAACAAACAAACAAACAAATAAACAATGGGTTAGCTATGATATAGATGAACGTGCAAACTAGTCTAGCCAAGGCTTCTTCGCGTCACGCACGCGCATGCGCGAATGATTCTAACGTTTAAATTACAGCAAATAATTGTTGTTGTTGTTCCTGTTGATCTCAAGCGTTCGCTGATACATACATACATACATACATACATACATACATACATACATACATACATACATACATACATACATACATACATACATACGTACATACTTTATTGACTTTCCCCAAGGGGGCTTTTCAAAGACAATGTTATAAAAATAATCCTATTACAATTAAAAATGTTTTAAAATCTGAATGTTCTAAAAGAAAAAGAAAAATTTTCAAAAATATATATAAAATTACAACTCTTTGAGTAATTTGGTCCTTAAACGTTTTTGAAAAACATTAACGGAGTTGCACAGTTTAAAGGAATTATCCAAAGAATTCCATAAGTTTACAGTTCTATAGAAAAATGTTCTCTGACCGCTAGCTGTTCTAAAGAATGGAATTTGCAAAAGCTGCGAATTTCTGGTGCTACGTCGACTAACCTCGGCTCGCTTTATGAATTTTGATGAGAGGTATTCTGGGGCCATTAGACTACAGCTGTTTCCGCGGAAACTGGTATTAAAACGGCTTATTCCTGAAAATTTAAAGTAGTGCTAGATTACCTCATCTTTACTCCTTTTGAGCTCTGCCATGGACACAGTCGCTCGGCTCAGTTGAGCTTCCAAATCTGAAATACGTGCATGCGCAGCACGCTCCTGTCGAATCAAAATAATGAACTTTCATTTAAATTGTCAAACTAGTGGAGCCATTATGCAGCTTTTGAGTTGGGTTTAGAATCTCTTCAGTTGTCTCGAGTGTTGTAATTTAAAGGAGTTGGATTCTTATTGTCTACAACATTCCCCCACCCCACCCCCCCAACCCAACCAACCTTGACTAGAGCCTTCTCCTTTTGACTATCCACCTGTCTCCTTGTGTCCAGAACAGACGACTCCAGCTGCTGGTTAAGTCGAATATTTTCCGCTCGGAGGTCCTCCTGTCTTTGCTGCCAGTTAAAATCACACAAACACACGATCACTATATTGATAACACTTCGCAAACCTCACGCGCGCAAGCGATGGAGAGAACTGCCTCTGGCGCGTTTGGTTAGCGTTATTTCGGAAAGACCGCTGCAATACTCACTTCTTGGTTGTGAGTTTTGGTGATCCCAGTTGTAATGCAGTGAGCGTAGCAGAGGCCCGCCTCCATCAAGGGCGAGTAATTCAAACCGGCACTCGCGAGAAAGAATTCACGCCCAAAAGGTAAGACAGTATGTCCGGGTGGGATCTCTATCGCGCGTGTTACTCGCGTTCTTACCCAGTCGAAAAGCACGCCAGCAAAAACGGGGGAGGGGGTGAGGTATCTTATTGTAAATTTGAATCTAAATACCAAGGTAATCCTTAAGAGGGTATGGCAACTTTAAGGTGAAATATCAGGTATTACATGAAAGACAGTTTGAATTTACTGTGTTCCTTGGGAGATAAGTTAGTGTGTAAATTAATCAGTCGAAGACTATCATCAAGTGATATGTACTTGTCGAATCATTGTCTTGTTCATCTCCGTGATGAAAGGTGACACTAACCTGTGTTTGATATAATGATTCCTCTTTCTTGCTAATCACTCCAATAAGTTCTCTGTTTTGTTGATCAGAATCGGCTAATTTCCTATTGTAAAATATCAATCGTTTTCACCAATGACAAAATGCTGCTGTTTTAATCAATTATTATACAACGAGCTGACAAACAAAGCAAGAACTTTAAATTTTCACATGACAACAACTCCAATGTTTCACAGGCTATGAACTCTTTTCCACAAACCTTTCTAAGACTTCGTTCTTCGCCTGTATGCTTCTTGTCTCATCCTGCGCCATCCTCAATTTCTCACGCAGATGCTCTAATTGATCTGTTTGCGTTTCTACCTTTGAAAAGGAAACAATAAGAGCATTATTTTAAATACTTAGATACAGCAAACCTATTCATGGAGAGCGTTTTGGTCATAGCGAGCAAATGTTTTTCAACTTCAGCAAACAGCAATGACTGCAAAGACGACGACTACTCAACATTTTAAGACAGGGGCTGATATATCATTTCAAGGTCATTGAAAATTTTTCTTACTTTGAAAATATACATTCGTAACTCAATCAACATCTTATTTACACTACAGGCATATTTAAAAAAAATCCAGCGTATTTGAAACAGAAGGAAAAAGTTGAAACTGTGACGACAGTATCAGCAGAGTGCCGACCGTAGAAGATCGCGCATTTATAGACCAGCTAGGCTACCAAACACGTTCTTGTTCTTCTTACCTTCTGTGTCAGTTCAGATATGAGTTTCGCGTGTTCGTTCGATCTCCTTTCGTAAGCTAAAATCCTCTCTTGAGAATCCTGCAAACGTGCGTCTGAAGACTGAGGATAAATTTGATTATTAGTATATAACTAGATCAAATTGTATCTCCTGGAGAGAAAAACACCTTTCAATTGTTCACAGTTGTTACCTTTAGTAGATCTGCGAGTGGCTCCAGCTCAGAAAGCCTCTTCTGCATTTTAATTTTAACCTTCAGAAAAGAAAAGATTATTATGTTAAATTATTAATCCTCCTTCACCTGTCTGGATGAGCTCAAAAACTTGTTCTTTGGTAAGTCTTTATGGAAGGGCTTCAAACCACTCATACTTGCGAAATAAAGATCGATAAATTTAAAGAACGCGTTGAAATGCGGCCTTTACACGCAAGTGAGAGAAGTGTTTTGGTTCCCCACCACTGCCGTCGCTAATCGTTTTAAGCCCACAGTCGTACGGCTGCAAAGGCGGGAAAAACGGAACTTCAAATCTTAATACCTAGTCGACAAGAAGTGAACGAAAATAAATAGCGAGACTTTATCTCAATCCTCTAAAGCTAACGAAAAATGAGTGCAAAAAAATTTACAATTTTAGGCGTCAGTTCCCCTTTAAGATAGGTAAAATTAAATCTACATGATCATGTTTTTGATCGGTCGAAAGCCGAGCCCGTTGTAATTTTAAAAGTTTTTCAAGCATAAAGAACAATTCGAAGAACCCGAAGGACGAAGTATCATCTCGCTGGACTGCAGATCAGACCGAGCGGTACGGATTCCAGCCCTGCCTGGGTTACTTTGAGCAAGATTCTTTATTTTTCGAAGTAAAACCGGCAATACTTTTGCGATAAGTTCCAGCAGGAAGGCTCAGGTTTAGAGTTATCCTACTCTTCAATTGACTGTCGAAAATAATCGAGGATTGTATCGCTTTTGCTACACTACAGTCCGCGATTTGTAAAGAAAACCCGCGTTTGCTTAACCCTTTAATTCCCAAGATATAATTGCTGATTCTCTCCTCATTTCCTTGTAAATTAGTGCTGAGATTTTGGTGTTAGATCATGATCACAACTTCTACCTGATAAGTTTGAGTATTCTCATCACCTGTTTGCCTGATAATGTATTTATATTGGAGAGAGCAATTACATGTTGATCACTTCTAAGGGTTTAAGATTTAAAAACCAATAGGATGCAAAATGTAAACCAATCACTCCTATTTGAATTGCGTTTTCCCACGGTTATGATAGTTAACATGTTTTTGCTTTGATTTCTCGTTAGTTTCCTGTTATATTAGAAATTCCCTGTGTTCCGATTGGACTTTGTTAAGACTTTGGATGAGGTTCTACATCACTGACTTACACATGAGTCTTACTTGCTTTACCTTCTCATTCTCCAGTGCACTCTCTTGATGCATTTTCTGTGCTTCAGCCTCGTACTCGTACAATCTGTTCTTGGAGTCTTCGGCTTCCCTTCGATACTTGTCAATCTGTCGATGAAAGGTGTAAAGAGGCAGGATATTTGATTTCAGTTTCAGAGTAATGCAGCAAGCATGGAGGCGTTATGCTGCTTAATCTCTTCCCCAGGCAGCGGCTCTGCATTTTCTTATTTGATCATAACATTTCACTTTCTAAAAACCTCACTAAATGCACTAAAACAGAGTTTAAATTAATCAGGCAAACTCTCTAGGGGTAAAGAAAGATGTCCTAAAAATCAGTCGCCACGAAAGTTTAACAAAGAAAATCCTTATCCTCCGTGACAATTCGAACTCCAACAAGTTCTTTTTCGTGGTCCGACGCGGAATCCGTTTGTCAAGAGATTATTTGCAACAAATTACGTGAAGCATTCCATATTGAGAGGTATGATCCTCTTGGATGGGTGCTGGGACGAGAGCTGATAACCCTATCCCGTAAAAAAAAGGAATTTGACAGAAATGGAGGCCATTCAAATCAACAGGGGTCAATGATGGCTCACGGAAGCAGTTTGACGCGCTTTAGAAAATCCGAAAAGAAACCCAAGAGCTGTGAATTTAAAATTGAAAAATCAGAGGAGAACTATCGAGGAGGAGAAGGGTTTGGAACGAATGGAAACCAAATGAGTGGTAGTCAGGAGCAAATGTTGTAGCTCTCGTGGCAAACCAAAGTGGGTCGAACAAGACCGTTAAAACCTTTTATGCCATTTTCCATGGAGAAATAGATTGCACACAAAACAAGGAAAGTGGTTCATTAGACGATTATATCTACTCTCGGTATTGAAACACTAAAAACGTTCTCTATCTTAAAACAATGTTTACAAAGCTACTCAGTATCATCCTTCCTATCAACTCTACCTGTACTTTATAATCCCCAATAAGCTCCTCGTATTCTTTGATAGCTGTTCTCAGTTGGTTTATTTCATTCAGGTCAGCGGTACACTGCGTAGGGATAGTTTAGCCCTTGTAAGCATCAACATTCTCTTTAGTGCAGCCGATGCAAAGCATATAAACTCAGAGCGAGAATTCAGCCTAAAATCACTATCTGATGGTTAACTAGTTTATTTGTGTTTTGTCCGTTATGAAGAGAGGGTTTGAGTGTTCCGCAGATACTCCTTAGCCTTCCGAGAAAGTTTTGCGAGCCAATCAGCTCAGTATTACTATTTGGTAAAAACATATTGATTCAGAAACGACAATTATATCCAAAAGTTTAATTATTGTGTCACTGTCTGTCCTACCCTTGCTCTGTGATCCTCCAACAGAAAACTGGTTTGTTTGAAGCTGGCTTTTAAATCGTTTATTTCTGCTTCGTATCTAACTGTCTATCAGGAAAGTGAATAAATTCTGTGTAAATTCCCTGGTTGGTCTGCGTAGGTACTACGTGACTAAGATATGTCATCACTACCAGTTTTGCCTTAACGGCCTACCGCTATATTACTATCAGAGCTTGATCCGGTATCCATAACCTGAAGTTGGCAGAAGTATAGATTTGCTTTTGTTAAGCCGGTGGGTATTTCAGCTAAGGTAATTTCCAGCAAGTTATGAAGTTTTCCTGACAATTTACTGGTACCCATCTACATTCCTAAGAGGAGAGACTCAACGAGAGTAAAGCTTCTTCTCAAAAGGACAGTACAGCACAGCACAGCACAGCGACCCTGCCAAGGATCTCTCGATCCGGCGTCTTGCGCGCTGACCACTAGGGTACTTGGCCACCGAGCCTCCAATGCAACAGGTACAGAGAAAACATAAGGCCTGAGCTTTCGTTTCCGTATGAAGCCAAGAGATTTCAGACCAAATGAAATTATGATATGGTGATCTTAATCTGATTAGTCACAATAACCTGTTTCAGCTGTTATACATACTGTTACAATTTTCATACACTCTCAAGCTAAGACTTCTTTTTTCTACGACTTCTTCTTTCCCTTTATCTACCTGGTTCTTGTATTCGCTCAGCATTTTCTCGTATTCTGCAATCAATGCCTCGAGTTTTCTTAGTTCACCTTTGTCAGCTTTGCGCTGTTGATCGACACAAAAGGAATTTATTGTGAATAAAATCTGAGCGAAACGAAAAGTACAGTCAATGATTCTTGAACTAACGAGCAGACAAAAAGTCACAAATAATATCAGATGCTCAGATAAAAAAAAAAAAAAATAAGGCATCAGGGTAATATCACATGCTGAGGCCACAAATGATGGCATGAGAAATTTGACCGCTTGAGAGGCATGCGTTTTGGCGAACATGTGCGAGAAATTTTCGTGTTTCTTGATTACGCACCCTGTCTTCAAACACTTATACCAGCTTATTTGGGCTAATCTACTCTAGCGAAGAGCCTACCTGGTTTTTTAACTGAACTATCTTTGTCTGGTACTCGCTGGTACTATCGTGAGGACGATCAAGTTCTGTTTTTGACGTATTTACCTGATGAGGTGGTACAGTTGATGACAATATGTTAAAACAAAACCAAAACAACCGCGAAGTTCATTTGGGGCCAATTGCTGTCAGAGAAAATTGTGTTCTTCCACTCTTTAGTTTATTGCCTAGTTATTTGTACAGTAAAAGGAAAAATAATCTCTGGTTTAATTCAGTTTCCTGTAATCCTCGATTAAACTTTTCGGGAAAATTGCATAAATCTCTTGTTCAAACTTAATGCAAAAATGCTTTGCTAAAGTGTCAAAACGGCAGAGAGGGGACGGCAAGAAGTTCCGCGCTCCGGTAGTTTTTTTCGCCGTTTGCAGTTTGCCAATCCTCCAGTTCCGCCGAGTGACTAACGCTTTTTAGTATTTGCTTCGCGGTTTATCACCTCTACCAATTTTAAGTTGATAAGTGACTACGTCACCGAGTCTCAGACTATGTACAGCGCAACAGATTTCATCCGAGAAAATGATAACCTTTCAAGAGCAAGAATTTCTTCAAGTAAACAAGAAGCACACACAAAATGTATCACAGATACCCAATTAAGACGACATAGCACACAAGGAGTGTGCCAGAATCGACACTTGAAATTGCTGTTAACAACAGGAGCACATGAAAGTACCTTTGTTTTGTATTCGTCCACTTTTCTATTGTGATACTTCATCTTCGACTCTGCTGCATTGACCTAAAATATAACTATCTCATACTAACTACAGTATGTTCCTAACATGGCAACACTCTCATCCTACTGAACTAGAGTTTGTGGTTACACTGGGCCTTGCTGCGAAGTGAAAATCCTTGCAGAGAACTTTCAGGATCAAATGCTTTCCTTGTGCTCAAGAACTGGTTCATGGAACCTTGTCGTGTGATATCGTAATTCGTCTACTACACGACTACACTGAGGTCAATGCCTTAGCTTCAAATCAAGTCATTTACTTGTTTTGTAGATAAACAGCACCTTTTAGTTGAGTGTCCAATCAAAGTATGGCATGCATGCGATGCGGTTTCACTTCACTACGCTCCCAGGTTGACCTGATAAACTCGCGCCACTTTCTCAACTAATCAAAAGCAAGACTTAAACCGATCTGACTTTGTGTAACCTGTGCCGGAGCCTCTGTCAGCGGAAACGAGCGAGAAAGTTGACGCAAAAAATGGCGAGGCCAAAACGGTTTCCATGATAACTATAACTACTGCTTGTCGCTCGCCCGATCCTTCTCTCATTTCCAGCGACCTGTAGCCTGAAACCAGCAAACCTTTGTTGCTTCCTTGCGCTTGAGGTCCATATATGGCGTTTTCTTGAGTTTTCGCTGACCTCTTCTAAAATTTTTCATCCTTCTAATTGACCGCTGTTAACTTACCTTATTAGCGGCCCGTTGTTCTTCTTCGTGAAGGCGTTCCTCTAATGCAGCCACGTCGGCCTGAAACAAAACCAAACAAAGTTGTGTTCTGCTGTTGGTAAACCAGTCAAATAAGACTAGGGAGGTTATTGATTCCAAAGAAACTGTCGTGTTGCATTAACGGGAGAGTGAAACAACTGCCTGGTTATCAAATGTAAGCTGACGAAGATAGGTGAACGTTCGCACATATGTTTAGAGCGTAAGCCTTTCATCACGTCTAAATGGACTATTGCAGGCTGAAAGTGTGGTTATATAATGAATAGATTATGGATAATGGACTTATTCTACAGGAGTAAGCAGTTACGAAAAGATGTAAGAGGAACTAAATCAATTTTCTAATTAAGGCCTCTCATTCAACTAGTTAATTCATCTATCCACGCATCATTGTCATCAAAAGAAAAAAAAGTTTGGGTTAAATAGCACGTAACATCTCCAAGCGCATTTCGATTCATTCTCGCGAAACCAAAAAACGAAACTGATCGCAGCCGACGACCGATTAAAACAAAGTAAAAATACAAAAAAGACCCAACAGGAGTAAAAATAGGAATAAAAAACAAGAAACCAGCATAGGGCGCGGGAAAACACGGCAAGGGAGGATCAGTTTTAACTTTTCAATTTGACAAGTTGAGAGAGTAGCGCGCGGGGATTTTCAAACTACAAAGCAAAGTAAAGCAAAAAAAAAGTTCTACCTGGAGTTGTTCGTTGTCCAATCTTAGCGTGTTCACTTCCTGAGTTCGAGTGCTCAATTTAGCGGTGAGACTCTCGCTGTTACTCTGCAATGCATAACAAGACTGACTGCATGAACATTACCCCTCTTTGTCTTCTAGTTGGGCAGTTAAAAATATTGGTTATAAGTCTGATTGGCTGAAAACGAGTGCATGTTTCATTTAACACGAGTGCAAGGTTGTAACACGAGTGCGGATTGCGCGCGCTGTCAAAGTTTAGTCGGTCTTGACTTTCTGTGATGCTAACCCATATGGAGGGGTAAGTAACCCACACGGGCACTTTGAACCACAGACCGAGGCTGTTAAAGTACAATAATCACCTGAGCTGCTTTTTCTGTGGTATCCACTAACTCATGCATCTCTTTCAAGCGACTGAAAAAATAAATCGAAACAACAGAGCTGACTCGATGGACACAAACACCGAGAAACTTTCCTCTTCCATCAAATACTGACAAAGAGGAGAAAAACATAAGTAACATTATTGATCCTTAGATGTACCCAACAGTTTCATGAGTCATTTGAAATAAGTTAATAGTCGACATAAAAGGCAAAGAAGTGAGGGTGCTCACTTTTTTAGCGTTTTTATTTCTATCTCAGCGTCACTTTTTTCTTCTTTTAAACTTGCTTCGGCTCTCTTTGTTTCACTTAGCGCTAGGTCCTGCGCCAAAGAAAAATTTAGATCACAAATTAATCTCCCAATCCTAATAATAACAATAACAATCATAATAATAATAATAATAATAATAATAATAACAATAATAATAATAATAATAATAAATATTAAACATAACTTTATTTCAAAACTGAAAACATTACAATAACTTCGCGTGGCTAATGGTTTTTCCTCTCGTACATTTCCAAATTAGTTGACACGGAATACATCTATTAAATTCGGTTCTCTAGGATCAGACTCGTATCAGACCCAAACTAACTTTGATAACAAAAACGACCTACATATAAAAAATCGCGAAAGCAACTACTAGTTCGTATTGAAAGAATTTCAAAAAAACGTGCATCGAAATTATCCTTATAAAAGTAAATTACATTAAAAAAAAATATATGAGAAGAGAAATGACACTCTTACTCTAAAAAAACTGTAAAAACAAATTTTAAAAATCTCTAGCCTGTATTTGCCATAGCATTGTCAGTTAAAAGATCTGTATCGAATGTTTCAAATGTTCTTCTCTTCTTTCTCAGTACTGACAACAAAACAAATAATAATGATGATAATAACAATAATGATAATAATAATAGTAATTAAAAATTGATTTCCTATCATATGAATTAATTAAGATCAATCTTTCCAATGTTTTTCAGCAGTTGCGCTGCCAATGTTTCGTTTCGGTATACTCATTCACCTTTTCGGCAAGCTTTTCCTGTAGGACTTCCAAATCCTTGTCTCTCTCACTAACACGATCTTTTTGTATTCTGAAAAATTTAAAAAGCCTTCGCTCAAAAAAAAAAAAAAAAGATTCACCATTATATTGGAGATTCTGGAGGGGGGAAGGATCTGGGGGGTTTAGACCGCCCTCCATCAGACTTGTGGGTATTTTTAAAAGACGATGATAAATGCGGAAAAGATGCCACTTTCCATTCTGGCCTTGGCGACTATTTCTAAAGCAAAAAGTAGGGAAACGATTTGAATTGGTCCCCGGAAAAAAAAATAAAAAAATTATGAAGGCAGGGCAAAAAGTCGAACAGGTCTGAACCAGCTTTTAAGATTGAAGATGTTCTTTCTTTGCTAAACCAAAAATTCGTCCTTCGCATTATTTAGCATTGCCTTTTGGAAAACATTTTCCTGTAGTTTAAGTAGCATTAAAACTTTACCTTGCCGCCTTTTTAAGAGCTTCTTTTTCTCTGCTATTCTTGTCCTGTAAAAAATTATCCAACAGTTAGTTTCATTTAGGATGAACGAAGTCTGAAAAGTTTGGCGCTAACTGGGCCTAGAAGTAAAAAGTACTGTGCTTCCTCGAAATAACATGGGAGGCAAATGGGCTCGATTTGCGTTATATTCAATCCTTGCGCTTTTGCCAAAACAACCAAAAAACACTAGCAAACAAATAAACAAACAAACAAACAAAGCAAGTACCAAAATTCCTTTCATTCGAAGACTGGTTAAACGTGATACAAAATTGGTGCTATGTCACACCGAGAACTAGGTGACTCACTGCCCAACTAAAATAGTTTTTATATCATTTAAGTGTTTATAGGTCAATTATTTATGGTTAGATTTGTAAATAAATCTTTTTCCTTTCTTTTCCCAAAATTTTTAAACTAAATCGGAAGAGTCATACAGTGGAGATTTAACAAAGACATTGTACAGCAAAAAAATTACAAGAGATCGTAAAGTACATACGCCATACCCTATGCGCGGCGATTAATCCTTGCATGTGTTCTACTTCGATTCGTCCCTGTTCGTACTGCTCCTCGAGGCTCTAGAGTCAAGGTAAAACGTCATTTGAATGAATTTTCTCAACATATCTCACCTTAACTAAAAATAACTATAACAACTGAGAACTTTTGGTCTAGTAGGTTTATTTCCGTTATATTCGAGGCAAAAACATCCACCTCTTAGAAGAAGAGAAAAATATCGAAATTCTCGGCTCCTTACTCTTATCTGCACTGAAAGTCGACCACACTCCATCTCCTTGGAGCGCAGCTGGTTCTGAAGATGAGCCCGGGTTGTTTCCATGGTCTTTTTTAATTCTTCAAATGCGACCGCCTGGTCCTGAAATCACAAAGTACCACATGTTGGAACCAGATGAAAATGAACCTACGAAGAAGTTCTTTTTGGGGGTTTTCAAAAGTCGACATCAATCGCAAGGAATTCTCTAAAACAATCTTTTCTCAGGGTAAACAAATGCAAAAGAAGTACGGATAGACCAAAGGTAACAGGGTTGGTTGCAAAAATAGGGGATTGTCATGAATTGCAAATGGTCAGCCGAGAAAAAAATATATGCCACTAAATCTTTTAAGGTACACATAAGTCACGGCGTTGGCCTTTTACGATTTTCTCAATTGGAAGAATTTGAAAAAACAGGTAAGTAAGTTATAATAAAATGCCATGGTATGGAGAAAAGTTTCTATAAAATGATGAAGATTGAAAGTAACACAAACAACACCAACCTTATCAGCTTCTACTTGAGCTAACAGAGTTTCTATCTGTCTGTCTCTTTCTGATAACTCGACTTGCAAACGCTAGGAAGAAAACAAAATGAGTTCAATAACCGGCTAGATTTTTAAAATCCAATCACAAAGGGTTAGTTTTGACCGGAAAACAAAATTGATAATTTGAAACTCGAAATTGTCGCTTCTGCGAGTCGCTTAAACTGGTATCGTGGAACATTTTCAAGATCTCCTGCCTTAGGTCGTGTGCCGCGAGAGCACAAATTAAAATATGTTTACTTTTAAAACAAAGCTTTTCATGTTAAGTAAAGATGCAGAATATTCTTCTTACCTCGTTTGTTGTGTCGGACTGTGTAAGTCTCTTCAGCAAAACTTCCTGCTGTTTTCGTAGATGATCGTGTTCTTCCTTAACACAGCCAAAAATCAAACAATAACAACATTAGATTTATTATGAAACTAAAGTATTGGGCGGGTAATGAACAAAAACGACTGGCAACAAATGCGTTGACTCGTTTCTTAGGATGGAGCTTTAAATTAAAGAAAACACCTTTTCTGACGTCTTCATTTTTTTTCTCTTAAATTCAACGAAAAAACTCCGTTCCTATTAAAAGGTGATGCCAATTAAGCTGACTTCGAAATTTAGCGATAGGAATTGACAAGTTTCCTCAAACCCCAAACTACAAAAGGCAACTTAAAATCAAACAGTGTATATTTTTGGATAGTATTGAACTATTTTTCTTTAATTTGATTGCTCTAATACACTTGACTATGAGGGCGATTTTCGCTCACTTTATCGAAACCAAAACGCCAGTAGTGTCGCAAACAAAATGCTTTAAATTGCTCACTGTTTGTTCACTTTACAAGGCCAGCTGACTTGAAGTAACAAAAAAGGGTTTAAGGCACACCTCCGTGGCTTGTTGTTCTCTAAGCAGCCTCCTCAATGCTTTATTAGTCCTTTCAAATTCGTCTAACTTTTGTAACAACATCTCTCTTTGTCTGGTCAGTAATGTCGTGTCCGCAGCAGACATTCGTTTGTCCTGGGAAATTGTTCGATTAAAATATCTAAAAGCCTGCTCAATCAACGATCACAAAGTACATCAATTACTGTAAATTAACTTGATTTCCATCCTTTTTTTGTTTGTTCTGTTGTGGTTCTTGTTGTTGTTTTTTGCGTGGAGGTTCTTTTCTTAAGCTTTGTTTGACATTCCTTCTCTAAACCGGGTGGTCTAGGCGGAATTTACCAATACGGGGGTAGGGGGAAGGGGGCAGTCACCAGAATTCAGGAGGGAAAACCATGTTGATTACTTGCTAATAACAATCATTTTGTCATGAAACAGCGGGGGGTAGACTACCCCTGTAGTTAGGATCGTCCCCTCCAATTATGCTATACATGTAGCTTTCTGAAGAAAAAGTACCGGTAAGTTACAAGTTTCAAATGACATTTTACAAATTTACCTCCTTCAGCTTCCTGATAGTGTCTCTAAGTTTAATTACTTGTTCCCCAGCTGCTTTTCCATCCATTTCCACTTCTACTAGTTTCTTCAAAACAGCTGCTCTCTCTCCAGCTAACTTTCCCACTTCTGACCTGCATAGCATTGGGATGCATAACAAGTTTGAGTTACTGGCACTCTATCTTTCTGTGTAGAGACTACACACAACCCACAATTCCTCCAATCACCCTGATGAAAGGCTAAATGCTTGAAAGGGCAGCTTTAGAATCTTTTTTCTGAATTCAAGGCAATTCACATTTTCAACTCAGTTGTTAAAAACAAATTACGTTCAAGATTATTTTCATTGGTACAATCAAAGGCATTCTGCTGCACAGATCATTTACCTTGTCACATCAGCATCTTCCTTCCATTTCTCTATTGAATGACGCAGAGCCTCATTTTCCTTCACAGTGGCTTTTAGCTCTTGTTTATATCCCTTGAAACAAAATGTGGCACATAATTTGAAAAACATCAAAACTGAGAAATGGTATTTGGACCCAAATTTACACAGCTGTGTGTTGTGTAAAAAAAAAAAAAAAACACAATCAAGCTTACAAAAAGCTCATCTTCCTGTGCTTCAAGAATCCTTCGAGAGGCATCAAGTTGCTCATCCTTCTTTTCTACAGCTTGTCTAGCTCTTTGCATATCCCTCTAGAAAAATTGAATTCAGTGATCATTTAAGAAGAGAGAATAAAAGTATTTTTCATAATAAAACTATTTTTTATCAATTATAGGTTCTCCATGTTACATGCATCAAATTACAGTGTTCCTCTCTACAATAGTCCAGCAAAAGTGTAACAAGAATAGTCAGAAGTTAGAGGATATATCTAGTTATATAATTTACAAGGAAACCTATGACAACTTAATGGGAGAACTACAATTTCAATCTTAGGAGGCAAAAGGTCTGTATGAGTTGCATTATACATGGAAGGTAAACTAAAATGTCTAATACCAAAACAAAACATATTGACTATGCCCTGGTTTGAGTTTATCATAGGACCACTATATGCAGTACATACAGTACATTAAATGGAGATTAAATCCACTTATTAACAATTTGATCATGTGTCCTTTGCTGGATTAAATACCTCAGTTTTTAGACTTCCAACTTCTGACATCAAACTGCCAATCTTTTTCTCATATGATCTTATCTTTCCATGTACCTCATCTTCCTATTTAAAAAAAAAAAAAACATCATTTAATCGCAATATATTTATTTTCAACCATTAAGTTTCAATTGTACTTCAAACAATGGATACTTATTTCACTTACAAGTCTAACACACGTATTCTCACAGATGCTCACTTTACAAAAAATTCAATTTTGGAATTCATATAACCACACTGATTGTATTTCCCTTGGTTGCTTTAAGGTCTTTCATAGACTAAAACTTTGAGGGGTAGGGTTGGCAAGATTGATGGTGGGACAGACAGCTAAAGAGTGAATATTACAAATCATAGGCAGCTTCAGAGGGGATAAAGTGCAGGGGGGGATTTTTGTATACCAAGAAAGGGGAAAGGGTTGGGTAACATTTGAAAGACATCCCAAGTGATTTTGCTGCTTCCCTTGTTCATCTGTAAATGAGAACTTCCCTTATGAACAAAGTCACAAATACTGGATGGATGGGTAAATGGACGGGAGGTATGAAGGTGGGAATGAAGTATGGAATAATAATAATAATAATAATAATAATAACACCTTTATTTAGACATGATAATATTTAAAGCTGAACAGCTTGTGAGGTCGTCTGTAAATGCAAATAAACTATAAATTAAATTAAATAAATTCAAATGATGATGGTTTTTGAGGAGAGGGGAAAACCGGAGTACCTGGAGAAAAACCTGAGTAAAGAGAGAAAGAGGAGAAAAAGGAGAAATGGAGGAAAGGAAAAGAGGGAGGAAGGGAAAAAAGGAAAATACCTCAGAAGTAGAAAGATCCTCCATTCTCAGTGTTCCACCTCCGTGGGGAGGGCTGACTTCTAAGCGATGTGAAGGACCCTATTTGAACAAATGTCAAAGGCAAACTTGCAAAGTGAACTTGAAGGTTTCTTATTCCAAAATATTCAAAATATCTCATCTCAAAATATTTAAAATCTCTACTGTGATTTAATTGAAGCTTTAACTTCATGCATTTTAATGATTTAAGTGGATAAATAGTCAGAGTTCTTTTCAACTTTAAGTTGAAAACAATCCCATTTATCAGCTCTCACTTGAAAATTATTGCTTAAAAGTATAATAACTACATGTAATGTCCAACCTCCCATGCAAATGGTCTCTTTGATGTCTTCCCAGGGGGAGGCACAAAAGGAGGAGAAGAAGATTTGATGGCTTTCCTCTGACCCTGGGATATATATGACAAAAAATCATGATCAGTTTAATGCTGCCTTGATCATCTTAAAATTACATTAATTTTGTTTGAATCCTTTCCAAGCCATTGTGAGACTTATGTTATCCTTTTTCAGATTCTGATAATGATTATACTGCAAAGCAAAGTTTACTGAGCCATTTCACTCCTAAGATGTCAACGCTAACTCTCCTTGCAGTCTGCTACAAGTCACAACAAGATGGAAAACATCTTTCTTTACAAACAAACTATTCTAAAAATTTTGATACCAAAAAAAACATATGATCACAACATGAACCCAACAGTGTTACTACTCACAGTAGATCTTGTCAAACCACTCTGCCTTTTGGTTCGCAGCCTTTGCTGAAAGAATTAAGCACCAAATAACCAATTTAACAAAACTAAGAAGCCTCAGCCATCCTGGCTGCCATCATCTGGGAAAATAGCACTTGATTCCATACCGTTGTGTCTACTGTACAAAGGTGTTGTAGTTCAACATTTTCCTCAGCTTACTGTAAAACCAGTTTTAATGTAAGTGTACCTAGGTGGGAAATGTGACTGTACACCAAACCCTCCCCTAACAACAGTCAACTGATAACAAGTTAGGTTCAAGGTTGTGATAGGGGAGGGGTGAGTGCACAGTTGCTCAAATATAGGGATTGCTCCCTTAGATCTATAATCTTAGAGCCTAAACTGACCTAAACAATTTAAAATTTATAGTAAACTAACACAGTGCAATTGTTCTGATTATCAAAACTTCTGTTTCTTACTATTCTCCATCTATTACACTTAATAATACAGCTTAAGACAGGTTCGACTGTATGCTGTTTGTTCTGCCACTATGGTAACTTATAAGAGGTGGTCACTTAAACAAGACATTCAGCCAAGAAGGTTAAACTGGATGAAGAATTACTTTACAATGTACCTCAACTGCTGTTGGGACCCCTGGTTTTCCTTTTTTCTTCTTCTTGAGATGTACATGAACAGGAGTCTCTCTGTCCACGTGGACATGGACAGGAGACTTGCGCCCATCTCCTGTCATCATCTGGTATAGTAAGAAAGAATAATTATGAGGCAAATCAGATTTGATCTGCTAAATAAACACTTCATCCTCAATTGTCAAATCAAAAGTAAGGTAACGAACATTACTTCCAGAGTGGATAGCCACCACAATTTTAAGTCTTGACATGCCCTTAACTTTTAATGCTCCTCTTTTTTTAATGAAAATGTTGAAATTATGCAATGATCTTTGACTGTGAGGGATTACAACTCAAGCAGTTGCAAAAAGGAACCTTAAAAAATTAGGAACACAGGATTTGAATGAGTGCACCTGCAATTTTAGTGTAATGCTTAAATCAACTGAGCTTTGTCCCTGTAATTGCCATGAAATGAAAGAAAAATTGATCATAATTATAATGAAACTTTCATCAACGACAAAATCATATCCCCTATTTGAACAATTAATCATCTTAAAAGGATTACCTCAAAAAGTATAACACAGAAAGGTAACTGCAGATTATTGATAAGAAATTAAATAAAACATCACTCCACACAATGATAATGACACGTGCGTACATAAAATGACCATAAAGTCTATAATCCAACAATCATTGTTCAACTTCAATAAAAAGTTGTGGAATCTCCTCGTGTAAATAGCATACAAGCATCGTACTGAAACCCAGTGAGTGTACAAATTACAAAGGTTTCTCTTGGTAATTTTAGTGAAATTACTGAATCATAACACTACATTCTGATGGAATCCAATGTATCTTTAAACGTCATGAGCCATTTATACCGTTTTAATGCAGTAAAACTAGAAAAATCTTCAACTTGAAATGAACATCCTCTATATCTATGTGAGCGTAAGACATCTCTGCCGTGTCGTGACACTCGAATTTGCCGCCGAAACTAGAACTTCACCTCAGCGGCAACAAGACGAATGAAGTAACTGAAAGAACACAAACCTTTTCACGAGAAATCTAAGGCAACCATCGTCATTAGATGACCGCAAGGCTCAGTATTCTAGAGAAGACTTGGATACCAAAGATCAAAACAGCACCTACAAACTCTTAACAAACCCAAGCCGTTGGCTTTACAGCCCAGACGCTAAACGTGCAAGCTGATTGGTTGGGAGCCTTTGAAATTACTAGCCTCGCTTTCGTTGTTGTACTCCAGTAGCAGATACTTCCAGTACTGAAGCTGGAGGGTGAGTGTATTTTACACTTGTACCTTCACACGAAAAAAGAATTTCTTGCGATTCTGAGCTTTTGTAAAACAGGTTATAAAAATAACTTTTTGTAGATCATAAGGAACAACTTTATCGAACTGGTACACGATACGTCAACTTGTAAGTTATTAATGCAATTTATGAAAAGCTGGACACTACGAAAAGCTGAATTCTCAAGCCGGACACTACGGAAAAGAACACTATTTTTTCTCAGAAATTATTGTTTGGCTCAAGAATATTTCACATTTTTAAAAGAGAAAAAAGGTTACAAAGAAATAAAAATTAAAAATATTATTTTGGAAGAAGTCTGGTGTCGAGAGGAGGCGTTTGTGATGCGCAGAAGTGGTGCGATTCACGTCTTCATTGCGCACAGATTTCAATATGGATTACTTTCGCTCAGTAAACGTCAACAACATGGCAGATTCAATGAAAAAATTTGGTGCCCAAACAGCAACCTTCTTCTCAAGAGCAAAGCAGGTTCGATACTTCATACCCTAAATTCTATCACTGTAAAGTCAGTTTTTTCATTTAATCTTTCGTTCTCTAGTATACAGAGGAACAACTTGGAACTTCCGAGAAGACGGTTTTTGATGCACGATTTGAGTCCCTAGTTGAGAAAGCAGATCGCACTAAATATTGGACAGAACGCTTGCTGCGGCAAACAGAGGCACTGCTTCAACCTAACCCAGGTTTGTCTCTTAATATGTTCCCTGACCGCATTTTTTAATATACAAATTAGGAATCAAGATGGGCTGGACTTCAAATTCCTTCGACATCGTATTTTTTCCAAGAATTCCTCCTTTAATTTGCACTCTATCTATTCGTGGTACCAATCGTCGACATGTGATGAATATATTTATGACATAAAATCTTTATGTGGGAAAGGCTATTAGACTTATTGACACCGTTGTCTGTAAGTCTTGATGGACTTCCCAGCTTCAAGTGACTCCGTTTATATGAGTAATATAATATTAACTATAGCTGCCTGTACTTTCGAGAGATTCGTAAAAAGCATTTTAAAGTAAATTTAATTAACTTGGAAATTGCTAGAGTTATGCTAATTTGCTAATGTATGTACACAGGTATTAAATGTTTGATTTAAATCACGGAAAGTGAATTGTAGTATGCTAGCGTTCCATTTAAAGTGACATCTGAGCCGAGCTTGTGTCTTTAAGTACAATAAAACATCTTTTTTCGACTTGAAGAAAGCGAAAGAAGGACGAGACGGTAGAGAGCTGAAAATCGCACGGCGAAGACTGTCGATCTTGCTTTGATTGCAAACGTAATTTTTGAGTATAAGCACATTGTGGTTTATTCAACTTTACTGATTTGTCAAACAGAATTCTACATGTTATGCAATATACACTTCCTCTATTTTTTCCTTTCCTATTGATATTATTAATAACTGAACACAGTTTAGTTGTCAAAGCAGTTGGTAGCCAAATAATATTATGTTTTGCAACAATCAAATCTTAAGAAACTATGGAAACTAAAAAGAAGTTTGGTATGTGGTGATATCTTAATATACAAGTCTGGTGAAGTATCTGTTTTCTCCATACAGTCTCTTAATGTGTTTCCCCAGAGACAAAGATCACTTGAAAAAAATGAAAAAAATTGTCTCTGGAAGGGTTTCATTCACAGAGTGATATAATTTGCACACACTAGATTACTCTGGCTCTCCTTGAATATTTGGTTTTGTCAACTGAGTTGATATTGTAAATTGACTGTTCTAAAAGTGATATTTTGAGGGTCTTTCATTCTGACAAAGGGTTAGGACTCTAGAATACGTAAAAAAAAATTCACCATGGCTAATTATTTTAATCAGAGACTCAGTTCATAAAACCAAATTATAATACCCCGCTGATTCAGCACCACAGTTTGTTTGGAATTTTCCCCCTCTTATTGAATTAAGTCTATTTGAAATACAAGGATTATTTGCAATATCCATCTTAGTTGTAACTCTTTGTTAGTAAACTGTGATGCTGACACAACATTTTCTCTTAAAGAAATGTAGAGATATTAAAATGCATTTTCCTGGTTCACATTGTATCTTTTTAGTGTTAAAATCACTAGAAATAAATAAAGTAAACCAATATCTAACCCAAACATTATGCACTAGTTCTTGAATTGGTGTAACTCTTTTTCAAAAATAACTGTTCTTTGAAGGTTTCAGAGCTGAAGAGTTTGTGTATCAAAAGCTAGACAAACCAAAACCTCCTCGTCTGACAGAGAGTGAAGCACTGGGCCAGTCCATGATTGAGGCTGGAAACGACTTTGGCCCTGGAACTAGTTATGGTGAGTTACATGGCCTAAACAACTGAAAAATTGAGATCAGTGTTATATTTTAGACGAAGAAACTTCTTGCTCTACTGAAACAGCAGCTCTGGAAACTCTAAATGTTGGCCAATTCACTCTATTGACTCAGTTTGTAAATTCAAATTATGAAAGAAACATCCCAGTCTAACATGAGGATTAAAATCCAAGCAAGTTTGCATTTCATTGCTGGATGCTGCATTAATTAAGCTTCTCAGAACTTGTCAGTTAGCTAGGCTGTGATTACAGTACACTGTAGGTTACACTGTGTTTAACCTGGATCCTTAGTGTTGAAAGCATCCTGAAACAGAGTACAAGCATGTGTTGGAGAGATTGAAAAGGAAAACAGTAAGAGCACTGAGAGTTAAACTTAAACCATACTAGTCATGTACTAGATAAAAATAAGTCCACAACATTTTATCATTCTACTATGTTAGGCAGTGCACTGGTAAAATGTGGAGCAACAGAGAAAAAGCTCGGCCAGGCAGAACGCGATTTAAAAGCCAAGTCCATGTCCAATTTCCTTCATCAACTGAAGATATTTTTGGAAGGAGACATGAAGACAATTGCAGTAAGGAACTGCATTATATTTGAACTGAAAGACTATGTAGACATTCTTTGGTTGGATCTGCTTTACTAAGCCTCATATACATGTAGCTTTAATAACACATGCCAAAGCTGATGAGAAAGTGTTGTAGTTTATAACCGCCTCCTGGTTAGCTCAATGGATAGAGCGCTGGACTGATGTGCGGGAGGTCGAGGGTTCGAGCCCCGGCCCGACCAACACTCAAGGTCTTAAAATAATTGAGAAGAATATGCTGCCTTTCTATAACATCAAGAAATGGTGTAGATATTCTAGTCTTCTCAGATAGGGACGAATAAATGGAGGTCCCGTCTCCTGCAGGGTTAGGGGTAGGAGACGTTAATTTCCCACGCACGAGATTACTGTGTGATGGATGTCCTCCCGTGGGGTGGGATGGGTGGGTTGTTGTCTTGCATTTCATACATGAGCCTCTGGCTTGGGCAATATGGGTAACCATGCCCCATGTAAAGACATTAAACTTTTATTACTTACTCTTTGAAATATCAAGTTTAAAATACCTTAATTTTCCAGATGGTGTATGTGTATGTTTACAAATATGTTGCAGTTCCTAACATAATTTTATTCTTCATTTTGTTCAGTTACTGCATGTTCTGGAGTTTTTCTCTAAACACACCTTTTTTTTTTTTTTTTCACGGTGCCCTCATCACCAAGGACAGAATTAATTTTTATACAATCATCCTCTTGCTTGTTTTCTGGCTCACTGGAAATTAAGGTTTCCAATTTTTTTATTATGTTTGTAGAAAGAAAAGAGAACCCTACTTGCCAAAAGATTAGACCTGGATGCTTGCAAAGCTAAGGTGAAAAAGGCCCAGAGTCCTGAGAAAATACAACAAGTGAGTATAACTTGCAATACATGTAAGTATAATCTGGAGGTATTAGGATTTTGTTTACATTGTAAATCTCATTGTGAACATTTCTCTTGTATTTCATGTATGCCATCACTATTCAATGATGATATTGGCAAATTTGTCTTGTTCAATCACTGAAAGACCAACAATCACTGCGGTCCATAATGTCTTGAGTTCTTATCTGAACAGGTCACATTCAAATGCTTGACTAAAGGTCTCTTTCTTCCTGATGATAAAGCAGAAAAGGTGACATGTGTATTCATTCTTTTGGTCACATTATTCATGCACTTGAAGCTTATCTTTCACTCCACTTCCTTGAAGTAATATGCACACTGTATGTGTCAGAATTTTTTTGCATTCTGAAATAGAATTCACCACATCTTCACCTCCTAATAATTTCTTTTAATTTTATTTGAGACGTTTGAGGCTACTGTGCTTTTTCAGTCACATTGCTGCTAAATTTTCATCCCATATTAAAGTGTACACGTAAGTTAATGCACTTCAAATTAATAGAATATTTCAAATCTGGTTATCTCCCATTGCTATCTGTGCACTTGTATATTAAAAATAATTACTAAAAGTCAGTTAAATCTCTCAAACCAGTCATTCAAAGTTTTGTTTGAGTTATCAGTAATACTGACTAGCAGTAAATGCCTTTACTAACCGCCTCCCGGTTAGCTCAATTGGTAGAGTGCCAGACTGTTGTGTGGGAAGTTGTGAGTTCAAATCCGGCTGGACCAACACTCGCGGTCTTTAATTAACTGAGAAGAAAGTGCTGCCTTTGTAATAATATCTGCAAATGGTTAGACTTTCTAGTCTTCTCGGACAGGGACGATAAATAGAAGGTCCTGTCTCCTGCAGGGTTGGGGTAGGAGACGTTAATTTCCCACACACGAGAGTACTGTGTGATGGGTGGGTCAAAAAGGGGTTAGGTGTCAATTGGAACGAAAGTCCTGTTCCTTTCTCCTGCCATTCCTATGGCGAATTAATTAAACTTAAACTTAAACTTGTCAGGCACCACAGTTTGCATTATCACTGCTACTTGGGACACTGCAGTTGAAAATTAATTTTGCTCAAGGTGTTGAGTTTCTTGCACTGTTACTCACAGTGATTAAAGGAATTGTTTATCACCAGTCTACGGTTGACAAAATGAAATGAAATAACTCATGATACTACTATCAGCACTAACACTGCTACTAATCATTCAGGCTTGTTCATTCTCATGGTTGGGTAATGATTCATTGACTTGGCTTACGTGAATACTGTAGACTATTCAATGGCCTTGAATAAAATTTATCTGAAAACACTTAGACCTTGATTACCATGTTTGTCCATTTTTACTGCAATGAAGCCTCAAACCTTAAACATGTACAATAATGTTGATTAGTATGTACTGGTACATTTCCACAATTTTTGAGATATATGGGTTGTAATGTACTTCAACCTTAATTGTTGAGAGCTTAGTTCTGTCACTGGTGCAGTGAAAGGTGTGTCATAATGCATCATAATCTGGGATTAAAAACTAATTTTTAAATTCTAAAATGAAAATTTTCATGTAAGGCCAGGACAAGGTCCAAAATGTTTGTCTCAAAAAGCTAAACTCCTCTAAAAATTAATAAATTATTTTCTTGCCATAGACATTTTAAATAGCATTAAAATTTCTACTTTTGTAAATGTACATAAAGTTAACATAAATGTACTAATGGAAATCTTCAAGCTAGTTCTCTCCTGCTGTCTTCTTCCTCCATATATGTCCATCATGACTTTTGCTTGACTCTAGATGTATTCTTCGCGGAACATGGTTGTAATCACTGAGTTGGATGAGGTGAGTCTTCTGTTCCTCAAGTCTAGGGTGGCTGTTTGGCAATGAAGGTGTTTGTAGTTTCTCAAATCCCTTATACTCTTACTGCATGAGTGGTCTTCTTGACTTTGATGTGGATTCTTCAGAACTCATATGATTGGTTTATGCAAAAGTCTACATGGTATGTTTCTTTGAGTGATAGTACCACAACACACAGCCACTGTTCTATGACCAGGTTGTCCTACACCCAACATGGAATGAACTGAGGTTTATGGTTCATAAACCCACATGGATTGCATCCTGAGGAAAAAGAGCTATCATTTTAAAGCATTAATTTTATTCATAAGCCAGATGATTACAAGTACAGCAGTGTAACTATAAATAGCTCTGAAGTTGCTCTTACTGCAAATGGCATCAACCAGGGATCAAGGATCATGTTAATGTAACTAAGGTCTCAATTCTGTGCTTCCAATTGAAGTTCAGTAGCAGTGTTAGTAGACAACGTGACTGATAATTTTTTGAGCTACAATTTGTATTAATGAAAATGATGAAGGCAGCAGAGTTGCCTGGGAAGGGAATGGAAATCAGACCTTTTCTTTCCCATTCCTTTCGTGGCTTTGGTGTGCTTAACACTCGGTATACTATAGAGAGCCAACTACAATTTGGAAAAATAAAAAGAAGAAGAGATGTAAATTTGATGCTGTCATCCACCTAACCACTCAGCTGATGTTCTGGTCTTTTTCTTAGGCAGAGGCAGATTTGAGGGTATGTCAGGGAGAGTTTGACAGACAGTATGAAGTGACAAAGTTACTGCTGGATGGAATCAGCACTGCTCATGTAGGTATTGCCTGTGTTACTGACCTGCATTCATTAGTTTTGTTGAATGGTGCATTTGTATTTTCAGCTGTTTTGTTTCTACTCATAACTTTGTCAAATAGCATGTTTCCCCCCCTATATTCAACATTGAGTACAAGGGAAGAGGGGGACAGGTGAACTTTGTCAAATAGTGTGTTTCCCCCTAGATTCTCCATTGAGTGCAAGGGAAGGGGGGGACAGGTGAACTTTGTCAAATAGTGTGTTTCCTTCCTATATTCTCCATTGAGTGCAAGGGAAGGGGGGACAGGTGAACTTTGTCAAATAGCATGTTTCCCCCTATATTCTTCATTGAGTACAAGGGAAGGGGGACAGGTGAACTTTGTCATATAGTGTGTTTCCTTCCTATATTCTCCATTGAGTATAAGGGAAGGGGGGACAGGTGAACTTTGTCATA